CTACAAAAGCAAACAGTTGTTACCAACAGGCGGTGATTAAAAGGTTGTTTTTTAAAAATTACTTGCTTAGAACACTAAATCCACCTTCCTGGGAATACTAGTCAGGCTTATCATGGATTCAACATAAATAAATCTTCTTAACATAGTGTAACTAAGCCTCCCATCAATTTCCATGGGATAATGTATTTTTAAAATTACAATATAGGTAAAGGGACACATGCACACACACACACGTACAGTGACAACTTTTTCTGACTATTAAGACAAAAAATGATTATATGAAAAGCAATCCGTTCTTCTCTAGATGTGACTAGACTCTTTGGTAAGGACAGGAAAGGGAACAATCCTAAGGCTGTGATCATAGGCTTCCCCAAGGCTTGCTAATGGCCAAGGACTGGCAGAATTTCCCAGCAGATGATGTGTGCACGCAGAGGTACCTGTATGCAGAACCTTGATCAAGTATAAACGTTAGATCCACACATGATAACTATCCTCTTAGTACTACATTAAATATCAGGATCACTTGAGGATATTTGATTCCCATTTTTCAACGTTCCCCATCACAGAGACATCTTAATGACTATAGAAGCCATGCTCATTTCCACTTCTCAGCCATCTCCCTGAGAAAGATGGCACAACTCACAATGTAACAGAAGATAATCTCCAATGTGTCAGGGAAGGAAAGGAGAAATGATCGTTGCCAGAACAGCTCCTGGAAGTCCAGGGCTGCTGGCACTTCTACTGAACTTTATATTCTTAGCCTTCTAGAAGAGTGGTTCTCAACCTTCCAATGCTGTGACCCTTTAATACAGTTCTTTATGCTGTGGTGACCCATGGCCATAAAATTATCTTTTGTTACTACTCCATAACATTAATTCTGCTACTTTATGAATCATAACATAAATATCTGTGTTTTCTAATGGTCTTAGACGACCCCTGTGGAAGCATTGTTCAACCCCAAGTTGAGAGCCGCTGTTCTAGAAATTAAGTGTTTCATGAAAGTGTTATTTGCTCAGGACTTTCTGTTCAATCTGGATTAAGCCAACCTGACTCATTTTACATCTGATTCTATGGAACTATGATGTGTAAAGTATACACCCACATTTCATTTCTCTAAGTCAAATAATTACAGATTCAGAGTAAAAAGTGAAATGTGAAATAAACACCTGAACAAAATTATTAACAAAATGGGTTCCTCACTTAAAAAAAGTTTGTCAAAGTTTGCTTACCCATCAACAGTTTTTTGTTGGTAAATATATTACATTTTATAACATTTAGCTCTTTTCCTGTTTTCTTTTAAAGCTTTCCAAACATACATTTACTCATTTTTCTGGGTGTATACTTGCCTTGGTGTGGACTTGAAGGTCAGAGGACAACTTTGCAAGAGGTCCTGTTTGCACTACGAGGGTTCTAGGGCTCCAACTCATATCCTCAAGCTTGGCAGCAAACACCCTTACCCCTAAGCCTCTCAGTGGACCTTTTTTCTTAAGATTTGATTGTGCTTTGAGACCAGGTCTTGACATGTAGGCCAGGCTGCGCTAAAATTCACAATTCTCTTGCTTCCACTTCCAAGTACTCAGATTACAGGCATGCACCACCACAGCTGGCTTCTCCATGTCTGTCAGTCTTATTTTAAAAGCAGGTTGCTAAGTATAAAGAGAGGAAATATCTGGACTAGGTGTGGTGGTCCACACCTGTATATCCCAACACTGGGAAGGCAGAACTCCCACCCAAGTTTTAGGCCAACCAGCCCGATCCACAAAGTTCCAACAGACACACAGACACACACACACACACACACACACACACACACACACACAAAAAAAAAAAAACAAGAAATTATAAAAACTAATGAAAGTATTCTCTAAGTAACAAGAAAAATAGAGCAGAAGAAAAGCAACCTATCCAAAAAGAAACATGAACCACTAGAAGACGGTTAAGGACACTGCCTGCCATTTTCACTCAGTCTATTTTGACTTTCCTACAATTTCAAACTAAGAGGAGTAGCCTTTGTCCACAGGTTCTGTGAAACAATACACTTGCCTTAATGTTCCCTTTTCAACTTCTCAATTTATATTTATAAGCTACTACTTATGTAACCAAGCTCAAACACTTAGAAATACTGCCGTATCAAACTGAAAATGACTGATCATTGATGCAATTTCCATAGACTAAAAATCTGACAAATACTTATAAAAGGTTGGATATGTAAGGGGAGAAAAATCAGCTACTCATGACTCTAAGCGGCTCTCAACCTTCCTAATGCTGCCACCCTTTAATACAGCTCCTCATGCTTTGGTGGCCCCCAGCCATATAAAATTATTTTTGTTGCTACTTCGTAAGTGTAATTTTGCTACTGTTATGAATCAAAATGTAAATATCTGTGGTTTTAGATGGTCTTAGATGCTCCTGAGAACCACTACAATTAAGCACACTACAAAAAAATCTAAAGAAACTCACAAGTGCCGGGCGGTGGTGGCTCACCTTTAATCCCAGCACTCGGGAGACAGAGCCAGGTGGATCTCTGTGAGTTCAAGGCCAGCCTGGGCTACAGAATGAGTTCCAGGAAAGGCTCCAAAGCTACACAGAGAAACCCTATGTCGAAAAAACGAAAAAACTAAACAAACAAATAAGATTTTTACAAGCTTCAATGCAGTAAAACAATCAGCTGCTTTAAAAAGTTATTTGAAACTGAAAAAGCATGAGTCTAGTTTAGTAGTAGAATTAGCTTAGTACGAACCAGGCCTGACCTGAAATCAAGCACCAAAACCAAATCTTTGTTGTTTTTCAAGACAGGGTTTCTGTGTAGCCCGAGCTGGCCTCAAACTCAATAGATTCACCTGCCTCTGATGGATTACAGTGCTGGGATTAAAGGCATGCACCACTACAGCCAGGCTCCAAAAACAAATCTTAAAAATATTAAAAATACCATATGACTAGTCAACAGGCAGGGGTGTAAAAAATAAAAGAACCCGTGTACCTCAATGCCATTTTGCATACTATCTCCAACTACTCTCAATACAACTATCACAACAGAGTCATCACTAGGAGTATTTCACCTCTGACCCCAACATTGGCAGTTAGGCTCCATAAGAGCTTACAATGAACAAGTACAGAGCACATTTTGTTCAACTTTGTATCTAAATCTCACTTGTTTCTTCACCCTAAACATAGCATCAGCTCTAAATACGAACTCAGAATAAAATCTAAAGACTAAATTGTGGCTTTCACACAGTCCAAGACTTCAATGTAACTGAACTATCATAGAACGAACACATTGCTGTTTTATTGCTTAGGGTCTTTGGGTTGCCTCTATTATTACCCATACTATTTTCCCTTAACACTTGGTTGAGAAAGGTAGAAGACTCAGTCGAACGTAGACATCAAAACTTGTCAAGAGAGTTTAAGTTAAATTTAAATGCTTCCCTCTTGTTCTTACATAACACTGATATTCTAAAGTCAGTTCATTTCTCTAACAACTTATGAGGCAGTTTTGCAGACAACCAAATTGCCAGGAAAACCAATGCCAATAAAAAAAAAACCCGTTTCCGTGAATTCTGCCAAGATAAGTCCATTTTGCAAACTAATCAAAATTCTTGAGTCTATAGGTGAGTTTTTAAAAATTTTTAAAAATCTGGCAAACACAGTCTACAAACTCTTGTATGTCAAAGGCTTCTGGTTGCTAGTCTACACCTTTAATCACCTGAGACTTTATCACACAGGTGTGACATTCCTTAAAAAACCTGAATGGATGGCCAGCTGCTGGCAAACCCAAACCATGACAAAAAAACACTCTTCTGCCTTCCGGGTAACTACCAGGGTGCTGCTCGGTGAGCATCTTGCTTCAATCAATTGGGAATAGTGCTTTAATTAAGAGGAAAGCAGTGTAGGATGGGAGGGGGGAAATCAAAGGGAAAAGCAGTATTGAGGTGCCGGAGTTCAGCAAAAGCGCTTGAATTTCGATCCTCCGGACTCCAAACGCTGTTCTCCGACTTCCACACACGCGCTGCCGCCCGCATGCTAATGTTTTTTCTTTTAAATTTAAGAAAAGACGATCTTGAAAAGTTTCTATTTCCAATATCAGTGTTCGTTGGCTGTCTTCCGGACGGTCAAGTCGCGTAAGAGCGGAAGAATCTACCGAGTCGTCGGAGGCGTGCGCGCTGCGCCGAGGAGATGAATGAATGGGAGCCCGGCGCGTGTGAAATGCAGGGCTCCGGCCAGCCGACCCGCGGCCGCGATCCGTAGGCCTCGCTCCTCCCCCCTCCCTCCTCCATGACAGCCCAGTCCCGGTGCGGAGGGGCCGGGACGATGGGATCACCTTCTCGGCCGGCCCCCTCCCCCGGCCCCGAGAGGTGCGTGGCGCGACCCCAGGGCGTCCTCCCACTCAACCCCGCAGCTCCGCGGCTCTCCGCGGGACACGCTCGCCCTCTTGCCGCGCCCCTCCCTCCCTCCCTCCCTCCCGCCCGCCCGCCCGCCGGCCCGGCCCCGAGCGCCCACCGGCTCCGCCGAGCCCACCCTCCTAAACGGCTCGTGCGCGGCCGGCACGAGGACCCCGGCGGCCGGGCGCGGGCGGCGGCGAGGCGCAGCGGCCCCGGGCTCTCCCTCCGGCTCTTCCAGGCCGGTTCACCGCCCACCCGCCCCGCCGAGCACGGTGCCCGCTAAGAGCCCGCCCCGCGCCCCCGGGCCCGGGGCCGACCCCCCCCCCCCGCGCCGCCGGCCCGCGCCGCCCCCACCGCCGGCCGCACCTCCGGGCCGCGCGGCGCCCCTCCCCCACCGCCCCGGTGCCCGGGCCCCCACACGGCGTGTGCGCTCCACGCTGCCGCCGCCAGCCTCCCGGCGCCAAGGCTGCCTGCGGGAGGTCAGGCCGGGGGGGGGGGGACAGGGGCCGGGCGCGGCCGGGGGCGGCGTGCGCGCCGGGAACGCCGTCCCGCGGGGAGTCCCTGAGCGGAGGGAGCCAGAGCGCGGGGACCTCGGGGGTGGGGGCCGAAGGCAATACTCACCGGTTCCACAGTCGCCATCTTAGATCGATCTGATCGCACAACCGCTCCTGAAGGGGGGGTGAGAGGAAAAAAATGAGATTCAAACCGGATTGGCCGGCTCCTGCCCACGTGACGGACGTGTCCGTTTGGCCCTGGCGGCGCCTGCGCAAGGCTGCAGCTGCGTGGGGACCGAGAGGCTTCTGGGAAGTGGAGTCTTTTTTTTTTTTTTTCTTAACGCGAAGAAGTTTTTTTTTCCCCTCTTAAAAAAAAAAAAAAAACTGATCACGTGGTCGCTGGCGAGGGTGCGCGGCTCCCGGCGCCGCGGGTACTAGCTGCAGAGTAGGTTTTAGGCCTCTGCGGTGTAGCGAGCAGAGCTACGGTCGCAGTCACTGCGGGGCATTCCTGCTGTGCCCTTTGTCGCCCAGTCCTCCCATCTTTCCTAGAAGATTGGGAATTGCACGCTCAGCACACGCAAGAAGGCTTCATTTGCGTAGCTGAGGTTCTAGGACAAGTTGCTTGTGTGTTTCTATTTAGTTTTCTTTGCGCCTCCCACCATTTTCTCTTGGTTTCAGAAAGAGGCGGCGATGGAGAGTCGTTGATGCGGTCTGCGTTCCCCCCGTCCCCGATCCACTAACGCAGGTGGTCACTTGTTTCCATCGCTGCCCAAGCGGGTGGGCGGGCTAGCCCACGGTACCCACTCGCACGCTTGGGGAGGAGGAGTGCACGCGTCGGCTTTTCCTGTTCCCAGTCCTGAGATGAATGTGTCAGGGTTGAATCTTACTGGACGTAAAAAGTTTGGAAGTTCTGTCCAATCAGTTCCAGTATTCTGCTTGAACGTGAACGGAAATAGCCTACGTCCAGGTGCCAGCCAGGGAAGCCACTCGGGGCTCCGCTGACTCAGCCCTGGACTGAAGGTCAGGAGTCGTTAAGCCGGGTCAACTATGACTCTTGACGTTGACTCATGCTCCTTAGGCGAGTGACTTAATCGCTCGGTGCCTCAGCTTTTTCATTTATGAACCAAAGATGATAATACACTTACCTCACAAGGGTGTGCTGTGGTAAGGACTGTAACCAGCTTTGAAAACGCTTCGGAATCTAAATGCTTAGGAGCAAGTGCGTGCCTTCCTAAGAACCAGCTGCTTCTCCTTCCGCTGCTGTTTTAACAATTTTTTTTCCTGATACAGAGTCTCCTGTAGCCCAGGCTAGCCTCGAACTTGCGGTGTAGGGGAAGATGGCTTTGAACTGAAGATCTTCCCGCCTCCACCTCCTCCCAAAGTACTGGGAATGCTGGCGCGTGCCGGGGTGGGGGTGGGGTAATGCGGTGATTGGGGTGGAACCTAGGGCTTCCTGAGTGCTACGTGAGCACTCTACCAACTGAGCTACATCCCCAACCCTTAACAATGTTTTAAATTTTTCTTTGATTTACTTTGTTACGTTGCCATGTACACCAACACAGTTTTAAAGTTTCAAGATCCTTTTTCTTTTCGAATGTAGCTGCTCTCAACAGAAGCTTTATGTTCAGGAAATTATGTTCATAACAACTTCTAACAAACAGAAATTTGTCCCCACACAGGCATGCTGCATTTTCTTCTAATTTACTGGGCTATCGTTTCTCAAGACAGTGTTGAGTAAAGGTTCTAATGAGGAAGACAGGATCTCCTTGCTATTTCCACGATGCCTAAGCATGTTATCACCAGGAAAAGCAGTACAAGCAGGCTATCTGTGCCTGCCTCCTTAGGGTGTTGCTGTTGTCCGGAGCTGTGTCATAGCTATTATTGAGTACATAATGGATGCTTGGGTTGACTAACACATACTTGAAGCTGTAGAAGAGCTCAAAGCCAGTTGCCTGTTCATGTTTTTGTTTACCAGAATGGCAGAAGTGATCTAAATGAAAGCTTTTGTTTACTCAGCACCAGTAGATTCTAAAGTCGATACAGTTCTGCAGACTAAACAGATAGGTGAATTTTTACGCACAAATCTGTTACACTAACCAAGGTAATTACAGTCGATCCCTTTATTTTCTGTTGTTTGTAAAATGATATCTGGTTAACTTTGGTGAAAAGACAGCATAGAGGGCTGGGAGTGTAGCTTAGTAGAGCACTCACCTAGGGAGCAGGAGGTCGTGTTTTAGATCCCCAACACCACATAAACCCAGCATTCTGGAGGATCAGGAGTTCAGCTTCAGTTAGGTGGCAAGTTCCAGGCCAGCCAAGGCAACATGAGAATCTATCCAAGACAAGACAAGACACCATAAATATCCTGTTTTATTAAGCTGCAAGATAACAGCAAAAATCAATCCTTTGGCAAGAAAATATCCCGATGAGCCCAATAGCCACTATTGTAAAACTTTTGTTTTAAATAGCTTTCATTTATATTTTTTTTCTTCAACCTTCCTCCTCTATTGTCAATCAAGACTCTTATCTTGGGTTAGAGTGTAGCTCAGAGGTAGAATGTTTGCCTACTTTGCTTAAGACTCTGGATTCAATTTCCAGTGCTCCTGTCCTCCCTGTTCCTTCCCCCCCCCAAGAAAAAAGACTTGTGCTTTTATAGTACTTATGTATGCCCCATTCTTTGTAGTTTAATTGATCTCCATATTTGTATATGATTTGTTTCATATTTTTAACATTTCAGATGTGTTTCCCTAGTATCAACACTCAAGATTTCATCATGTCAAATGTATGGTGGCCGGGCTTTGTGTGTTATATATCTGTCTGTATGTAATTGATTTAGTTTTGTTTATTTATTTGTCGAGTCAGAGTCTTGCTATGTTGTCCAAGATTGTCTTGGACTCATAGACACAAAGGATCCCCCCACCTCATCCTCCAAAGAAGCTGGAACTAAAGGTATAGGCTGCTGTGCCCAGCTCTGTGCTAAACTTAAATGTATGCAGCAGAATAGATTATGTTTTATCTACTTACAAAAAAATGCATTTATCACCCTGCTACCATATCTATGCTGGTATTTAAAAAAATTTAAAAAAAAATTTAAATCAGACTTATGAATGAGAGATGATGTTGTACTGCTTTCCAATATGATGGGGTTGTCTAGATCACACACAGCTACTTTGGTCTAGTACAGTATCACTGTAGCTATTCCTTATAATCCTGGGCTGATGGAATGTTACTAAGCATTAGTAAAAAATGACGATATTTTCTCAATATAATATATTCCTCAGACTGGTATATTACCAGTTTTTATAGATTTAATTAATGTTGAGATTTCAAATAATTTAATAGAACACAAGAGTCGTTTTGGATGTATACTATATCTTTGAAGTTTTAGTTCCCTGATTTAGATGAATGAAGTTACTGTTTTGCTAGACTTTTCAACTATAGTTCAAACTAATCATAACTTCTATGATCTGTATAAAATTATTACTGCTTACTTTGAGTTATCATCGTTTTTATTTAAGCAAGCTTTAGAATTTTAGACATCCGTAGTTCCTAATAAGTACTAAGCCTGATAAGTCATTTTTCTTAAGTAGACTTTGAGAAAGAATGAAGTAGTATGAGCAAATAAATTATGTCAATGTTGTAATGTATGTACGTCAATGTTCTAGATAATGCTGAACATTATCTAGAAATAATCTAACCAATTTCTAGTCACATCTTCCACTCCATTTGTCCACGAGATATGGTACTGCCTGTACTATAATTTATGTTCTACTGTTATTATTGTACTTTTCCTTCAGGAAAGATTCAACATAGTATCTTCTACATGAAAATTAGCCTTTGGTATTATTTCGATAGCTAAGAACATCTAGGGTGCCGAAAGCTCTCATAATACAAACCTTGCTTCTCACTCTGTTGATCATGAGCAGTCAGTCTGTGCCTCATTTTTCTCATGAGTTAGATGGGAAAATAATACTGTTTCATTTGGTTACAGTGAGAAATAGTGACTGTTTCATGTAGTATGTTTGAAATGGTTTTTAGAACGCAACAAACATTCAACATTACTGGTCACTAGAATGGTAAAACATGACATTGATGTAAATTTCTTTTTTAATTTAATTTTCTTTGCCATATACTAGACAAGTGCTCTTCCATTGAGCTATACAGAGCCCTCTTTTTACTCTTTATTCTAAGACAGGGTCTCACTAAGTTGCTCAGGCTGGCCATGAACTCTCTCTAGCCCAGGCAGAACTTGAATTTTCCCTACTCTGTGTCAATCTTCCATGTAGGTGGCATTAGAGACCTTTGCCACCAGGCCAGGCTTCTTCCTTTGTTATGGTGGTGGTTGTTGTTGTTGTTGTTGCTGTTTTTAAGACAGAGACTCACTGTGTAGCCCAGGCTAGCCTGGAACTGCCTAGTCCTCCTCCATCTGTTTCCTGAGTACTGAGTGAGACTGAGTGTGACAATATATATTGTTTCTTCTCTTTTGGTAAAATGTAATATATTTTAAGAATTCCTTGTCTCAAGAACCAACTGCTGCTTATTATCTTTTTAGGATATTTCAAGCTTGTGTAAACTAAAAAGTCAGCTAACATGGATTGGTCTCCTGTAACATGCCAAGTATTTTTCATATGCATTACTTCATTTGACTTTTATAATCCTGTTTGTTGATGTTGTTTAAGTATAAAGAGTGTTTACTATTAAGTGACATGTTGAAGTCTGCAGATACAATGATGGAATCAAACCATTTTTCTCCTCTTCACAACATAGTTGCTCTCTTCTGATTAGCTCTTCCAGATGATGCTTATTTTTCTTTGAAAACATTTAAATTTGTTTTTGGGGGGGTGGCAGGAAGTGAGTGTGGACCCCATTCTCTCTTCTTACCTTTATGTGTGTTCAGAGAATCAAACTCAGGTCATCAAGCTCACCTTTACCCACTGAGCCATCTCCTGGGCTCTCTTCAAAGCACTCCTAATTAGAAGTTGGTTTGCAAGCCTGACAAGAAAGCATCCAAGAGGTACTAACTAATGGGAACTATGTGATCTGTCAAGGCTATTTAAAGACACATGAAATAGAGGCACTTCCTTCCTGGATTTTAAAATCTGGTTGGTATACTAAGTCATGGAGGTATAAATAATTCAGTACCCATATAAAGGAGTGTGACTAAGAAGCAAGAGGATGCAGCTAACAAGCACCATGAGGCACCCTAGTGATGAGTGGCACAGTCACATGATTGCTTCCCGCATTGCATTCAAGCCTCTGTCCCATGTCATGTGAGAGATGCCATCCTTGCTCATCCCTGAAAACTAGCTTCGCCATTACCCGGTCCCAACTCTGCTTTATTTTGCCCTTACTCTAAGCATGACATCATACCAAACATTCTTTAATTATTGATCACCTCTGCCATGCAGACACTAGCTCCTTGATGGTGTGTAGGCACAGTGCAATAAATATTTAAAGGAAACTCAAAAGTCATTTGTAGTTGGAAGGTTTCTCCCGTCCTGCCCAGCCCCACAGTCCCGCCCGGCCCTGAGGTCCCACAGCTGCTTATAAAATAATCACTCAGAGGCTTAATATTACTTACAAACTGTATGGTCTGTGGCAGGCCTCTTGCTAGCTAGCTCTTATATCTTAAATTAACCCATTTCTGTTAATCTATGTTTTGCCATATGTTCTGTGGCTTACCAGTGTACTGGCATGTTGTTCCTTGGTTGGCAGGCTGACGCCTCTCTCCAGATTCCACCTTTCTCTTTCCTGTCTTTCTCCTTGGATTTCCCGCCTGCCCCTAAGCTGCCTTGCCATAGGCCAGAGCAGCTTATTTATTAACCAATGGGAACAACATATATTCACAGCGCACAGAAAGACATCCCCCAACAGTCATTTTTCTTAAAAAGCCCAACCTTAGGCCTCATAAAGTAACTATCAGGAAAAATCCTTCAGTGTATGCCAACTAAGTCATTTGTATGGGTACCTCATTCAAAAGAGCAGTCTGAAGTAGGCAGCCTGGTTGTTCAGGTGAGGGAGCCACTCTTAGCCAGTCTGTGAGATTGACCAGATTGTAACTGGACTGCATAATGAAGGCTACACTCCAAAATGATGAGAAAAGAAACAACCTGTGGATAATGTGAAAAATTCATGTAAGTAGTATATTAAGCCAACAATAAGGTTAAATAAACAGAATTACTTTATGCAATTGAAACCTGGATGTAGACCAGAATTGGGCCACCAGCTCACAAAAAAGTGACATGGAGACTTAATAATAATTATGAAAGCTTGGCCTTAGCTTAGTCTTGTTTCTAACTAGTTCTTATAACTTAAATTAACCCATATTTTTTAGCCTATGTTCTTCCATGTCTCATTACCCCCTCATCTCTCTGTACTCCTCATGCTGCTGCTTCTGCGTCTAGCTGATGACTCTGCCTTCCTTCTTCCCAGTGCTCTCTCTGTCCAGAAGCCCTGCCTATCCCTCCTGTCTAGCTGTTGGCCATTTAGCTGTTTATTAAACCAGTCACAGTGACACATCTTCACAGTGTAAAGGAATATTCCACATTTCCCCCTTTTTGTCTAAATAGAAAAGTTTTAACTCTAATACAGTAAAACTATATACAATAAGAACAATTATCAGGTAAGAATTACATTTATAATGTCTAGTCCATTTGCATTTGGCAAACTTAGAGAAAATACTCCATTATCCTATTTTAGTCCAAAGTTTTATACCTAAGCCACTTTTTGTCATAAATTGTATTACAATCCTAAAAATATCTTTTTAGACCTTAAAACATCCTTTTAGATAAACAACTTAAGTTTTTATGTTTCTCAACCTTATAAACTTTATATCTCTTATGTAAGTTTTTCTTTTGAATTTGGTAACAAGAAAAAGTGTAAAACTATAACTATCTGGTCTTCAATCTCTTTTCTTTTTTAACCCTCAAAGGTTTTTTTTTAAACATGTTGTACCTTTTTAGAGGTTGTATGTGTCTGGACCTGGCTTTGCTAAGCATCTGTAGCATTCTCTGATCACAGGAGACAAATCTTAAACTGCTATGTCAGCCACTGGAGCAGCAAACTTAGCGCATGGTGCTGGTGGGTGGCTCCAGCCCTGGGGCAGTAGTCTCCGTGTGCTGAGCCTACTGAGAGACCTCGGTCACCATGCCAGGAAACCAAGGTTTTTGTTCTTTTTTAAGCTTTCTCAGGCCTTATGTGAATATATGTGGCTGGACATTGGCCACTATATAGACAGATTCTTTTCCTTTGGGCTGCCAGCTCAAAAACAAAAACAAAAACAAACAAAAACAACACCCACCTATACCCCCTGCCTAGCTATTGGCTATTTAGCTTTTTATTAAACCTATCATAGTGACACATCTTCACACAGTGTAAAGGAATATTTCACAACGCCTGGGAGAAATAAAAAATGCATGGGATAAAATCAGTAATCTTTAGAAAGAAATCAACATTGTAAACACTTGTGGGGCAAAACAAAACAATTGGATTTTAAGGTCTTAAAGATTGGGTCTTTTTTCAATGCTAGAGTCAGATAATGCTACACTCTTCAAATAGGAATGCTCTGAAGAGCTGAGCAAAAGATGTTGGACTCATAAACATAGAAGGCTGATGAAAATAGAAACAAGGCAAAAAGCAGATTAGTCATTTCCAAGTTCTTTGCCATGTAAGATGGGAAATGGAAATAGGAAGATTACTGAGAGGAACTGGTTCATCTCAATGGAAGGATTAAAGCAAAGGGGTTTCGTTATCGTACTGCCTCAGACCGGTCTTTGGGGAATTTGGGCTCTTATCTCTCTAATCCTAATAGATAAACAGCTTAGTTTCCTTATGCGGATGTGGAACTTCAGCATTATGGACCATTAATTGGGTCCAGTGTAGGAACTTGGTCCAAAACAATGGCCTTCTTTCATTTTCATTTAGAGTGCCCAAAATTTAATCAGAGATCTGGGTGAGGGAAGCACATTCAGGTCTTCGTTGCTCCATACACTACCTTTACAATACAGTGTTCGATTGGATGTGTGTTCATTAGGAGCAGCTGCTTGCCATCTATAAGAAATGTAGGGTGACAGTACTTGGACTGTGTTTCCCTGTTCCAGGGACAAGGTTTCCCAGTGTGGAAAACACAAATCCAGTTGGAGATGTTGCTTCAGGACACAACCTATTCACCTTGTCTTAATTTCAGACTCATCGAGCAACCATAAAGATAAACCTACATTCCCATATTTATTTGCATATAGGGCTTCTCAGGAAATGCAAATGTGCACACAATAGTAGTTAGGTTGTTTGAAGTCACTGTTTAAAGGGGTGCTTGGCTTTTGGGGTTATTTTCTTGTAATTATTTTCTGTGGGAGAAGCTGAGAGCTACCCATTGGACCATATCTCCTCTGTGTCCTGAGACTGGGATGATTCCCTGAGGAAATGCCATCCTATGGGAACTGTCTGGGTGGTTATCATCCTTTGCCGGCATTTGCCATATTTTACTTTCTACTCCATTTCACTAGACACCTGCAAGTTGGGAATTTTTTTTTAATCGTAGTTAAGTGTATTCTAGTAGCAAATTTTCAGAAAGAACACAAAAGGCAAATGCAATTAATAACATGTCCTTGCATGCAGGACAACTCATGTTACACAAGTATAGAGAACAGATAGAATCTATTGTGTGATAAAGATTCTAGAAACACCATATTATTGTGAGCCACCATGTGGGTGCTGGGAATTGAACTCAGGACCTCTGGAAGAGCTGTCAGTGCTCTTAACCTCTGAGCCATCTCTCCAGCCCACCATATTATTGTCAATAGGAAGTTTTCTAATTTAAAAAAAGATCCAAATGTCATGTTGGAGAGATGGTTCAGCACTTAAGAGCACTTGCTGCTCTTACAGAGTATCTGGATTCAGTTCCCAGCACCTATGTGGTGGCTTACAACCATCTGGGGGATTGATGCCCTCTTCTGGCCTCTGCAGGTACCAAGCATACATGTGGTGCACATACACACATGCAAGAAAAGCACTCATACACATATAACCCTTTTTTAAAAAAAAAAAAAATTCAAATGTTGGTGTTACCCAGAAAAAAATGTAACAAGTTTATTATAATCCCAATAAACTACTGAAACTTGCTCACTTTGAATTGTGTTAGTGTTTGCTTCCTGAGCATCCTAGTTTCATTTCTGTTGGTATGAGAAAATGCCCTGACAAAAGTGACTTGAAGGGAGAAAGGATTGACTTGACTTATAGTTCTACATTCCAGTCAATCATTGATGAGAATTCATGGAAAGAACCCAAAGCAGCTAGTCATGTCCACAGTCAAGAGCAGGAGGAGAATGAAGATGTGCATGCTTACCCGTGCTCAGCCCTCTCTCTACCATGATACAGTCCAGGATTCCCTGCCTAGGGAATGGTGCTGCCTGCAGTGGGCTAGGGTGTCCCGCATCAGTTGACTTTAGGAATCAAGGAAATCCCTCACAGACATGCCCAGACACCAACCAGATCCAGGAAACCCCTCATTGAGAGTCTCTTCCCAGGTGATTCTGTCAAGCTGACAATTGAAACCACCCATCACAATGAGTGTCTATGTCCTTAACTTCAGAGTTTGGGAGACACTACCTTTCATTATATATTCATAACATTGCTTAAAAACAAAGATATACTCAAAAGAACTAATGGAAAACCATGGTTAGAACTTTTTAAAAGTAAATAGTACAGCTGCACATGGTGCACACCTATAATCCCAGTTTAGGAGGCAGGAGGATCAGAAATTCAAGGCCAGCTTCAGCAGCATAGCAAGTTTGAGGCTGGACTGTATTACATGAGACCCTGTCTCAAAAATTTGAAAAACAACAAAAGTAACTATAAGTGATTGTCATATCAAGGAAACATGCTATGTAGTTTAAAATTTTTCCATCCACTTAAAATTTGCTGAGTGATACATGCCTAAGGATGATGAGAACTTGGAATACACTTCCCCATCTCTCAGGAGTCTGACATCATACCTTATGAGACCCTATACATGAGGCCTTTATGAATGGATTCATCCATGGGTGTGATTAATGAACCAATCAATTGATGGTTTATTTCAAGAATAGGTTTGCACAGACATAGTGGTGCATACCTTTAATTCCAACACTCGGGACACAGAAGCATGTGGATCTCTATGAGTTTGAGGCCAGCCTGTTCTATATAGTTTCAAAGCTACACAGTGAGACTGTGTCTCAAACAAGCAAACAAACAAACCAAAACCAGAACAGGTTTGCTAGAAAAGTCAGTTTGGCTAGATCTGTGCCCATTCCTGCCTCTCCAATAGAATGCTTGTGTCACCTGGGGACTCTACGAGTATGAAGGCCACCACCAGATATGGCTCTATGACCTTGAGGGGAAGTACGAGTCAAAATAAGCTGCTTTCTTTATAAACTACCTTGGTGGTGGTGTTATATTAGCAGCAGAAATGGGCTGAGATCTGAAGGGTGTGCTTGGTGTCCACAAGATCTACTTTGTACTTCTGTAACTGATTTTGATAGGAAAAGTAAGTACACAGATTCTCATCTCAGGAATCTGTCCCCTAGGATAAGTCTAGACCAAACTTTAGGACAACTTGGGACAATCAGTTTCTTATTCACCATGTGAGTCCTAAGGATTGAACTGAAAGCATCGGGCTTGGCCTCAGGCACCTTTACCTGCTGAGACATCTCACCAGCCTTTCTTTCTGCTTTTCTTAAAAAAGCGTTGTTGTACTCAATTACATATCCCTCTTTTGTCTTCATTAGCATATAGTTATACAGCATAATGGATTTCATTGTGATTTTTCACATATGTTCTATATGCCTTGATCATATTCATCCTTTTATTCCTTTGATGATTTTAAAATAAATTGACAGTATTCTTAGAACTAAATACTTCAAAATGCCTATGATTAAGAAGAGTTCACTATTTATTTATGGCATGTTTCTTTAAACTAAATTTATATAAAATGAAATGTACAAATATTACTTATGCATTGAATGAATTTTAGCACATAAAATTGCACAATTCAAAACATTATCAAGATGTAAAATGTTATAAAAACACAAGAAAAACTCAAAACCGTATAAAGTATTTTGACCAGCTCTGTTTTCTGTGCCAATACAACTCCTTTCCCCAACAGGCACCTCCTGTTCTGACTCCTTCATATTCAGTTTGGACAGTTCTAACATTTCAACCAAGCACAATTACATGATACAAACTTTTCCTTTTGGTTTTTCGAGACAGGGTGTCTTTGTGTAGCCCTGCCTGTCCTGGAACTCACTCTGTAGACCAGGCTGGCCTTAAACTCAGAGATCCACCCAAAGGCATGCACCACCACAGCCCAACCACTCTGTACTTTTCTAATAATATATATTTAAGTCTGTATATTATGTATTATCAAACACTCTATATATGCTTTCTTAAAGTATATACTTACATACTTCATTTTCTCTGGCATGATTTTTTTAAAGTTTTGCTTAGCATAGATTCATTATAAATAAAAATGGGTTTATCATGAAATTTTGGCCTAGTGCTCACTGTGTAGTCCAGGCTGACCTCAAATTTAAACCAATCCTCCTGCCTCAGCCTCAGCTAGGAATACAAGTGTGTACCTTCATGCTCAATTTAAGAAAACTTTTAAACCTGGTGGTGGTGATGCATGCCTTTAATCCCAGCACTCAGGAGGCAGAAGCAGACAGATCTCTGAGTTTGATGCCAGCCTGGTATGCAGAGCATGTTCCAAGACAGCCAGGAGTACTCTAAATACTAATTAATTTTATTTATAGCTCACCAAGAGAATGCAAACAGAATTGATGAAATATGTATTTTTAAACTATGCAAATGTGTCCATTATATAAGGAGAGACTATGAGTGATTCATATTCTCTCTCTCTCTCTCTCTCTCTCTCTCTCTCTCTCTCTCTCTCTCTCTCTCAGTGGATAACTGTTCTGTCTATGACTTTGAAGCACCACCCCTAGAGATATAGCAGGTAACTGTCCTACATACCTATGACCTTGAAGTACCTGCCCCTGGGGCATGGCTTGGGGCAACGCTGAAGACCAGAGACACATAGGCTGCTCTCCTCACTCCCTGTGGAACTTGGATGCTGGGCCATTCTCAGGTTTGGAAGAACAGCATGGGACTCTGCCTCACCTTTCCAGGGCCCTGTGACAATTCCTCTGTTGTCTTGTGAATTTCCCTTTCCTGATAAATGCCTTTGCCCTTTAACCAGACTCTGTGGATTTCTCACATTACCTGGTGCCCACATGGGTGGGCCATCCCCACAGCCCTTATCCATGCAGAGAATCCTAAAACCCTGCCTGCTAGAAGCAGCTCAAATCCTGAAAAAAAAATGTCCTACTTGTTCCTTCTATAACCAAACTCCATTACTGGCAGAAATTATCCTAAAGGTATACAAAGAAATGAAATTTGGCAGATGGATGTGTTTCATTTTGCAGAATTTGGAAGATTAAAATGTGTACACCATACCAATGACACCTATTCAGGATTTCAACAGGCAACTCCTGTGAATTATGAAAAGGCTGATTCTGTAATTATACACCTATTAGAAGTTATGGCCGTCATGGGAATACCTGTACAACTTAAGACTGGCTATACTCCAGCATATGTCTCCAATAAAATGAGACAGTTTTTTGCTTATTACAATATAAAGCATATTACAGGTATACTACACAATCCCACAGGCTAAGCAGTCATAGAAAGAGCTAATTGAACCTTAAAGGATATGCTAAATAAACAGAAAGAGGTAACAATGACCCCTAGAAATAGATTGCACAGTGCTTTATTAACCTTGAATTTTCTCAGTGCTGATGAGAAAGGGACAACAGCTGCAGAGAGACATTGGACAACAGACAAAACTCCTGAGCTAAACCAACCTGTTTACTTCAAAGATGTGTTGACCTTGGAATGGAAATGACCAGGATATGTCCTACACTGGGGAAGGGGTTTTGCTTTTGTTTCTGCAGGAGAAGAAAAGCTATGGATACCAACAAAATTAATAAAAATTCGATCTGAACAGGAGAAACCACTTGATGAATAGAGGTAATAGCTCATCCACCGATGCGACAATTCTACAAGTTATAAGGAAAACTCAACAAACAAGGGTTGGAGCAGAGTTCTGATTTTTGTCTTTACAGGATAACAGGAATACCCATCTTCAATAAATCAAAAAGCCTTGGATATCCAGACATCTACAGCAGAAAGGAAGAATCTATTGGTACCAATATATACAGGGTAATATCTCACTGCCTAACATCAATATCTCTTTAACTCTAGAAAAGTTGTGGTCCTGATTCAATTATAAATTAAGCTGGCTTTGGAGTTGGAATGTGGCTCTCTCCTTCTCTAACCCCAAGCATGTTGCTAAAAGAAAAAAATAAGAGATTCTGTCACATATCAGAAGAGCTGTTTGGTGTGGGACAGAAGAATGTCAATAATTGGGGACCATTGTTGTCAAGATTCTGTTTCTCTCCATGCTTATTCTTGATTTCTGGGAATCCTTCCTCGCATGTCACATCATCCTAAAATCCAAACTTTCCATTTTGATATTAATATATTCAAGTTTTCCAAAATGAAAGATAAGTCTTTCCAATTGCAATTTCTGAACTCTCCAGAAGGAAGATGGGGCTCCATGACAACAACACTACTTGGTCCATAATGACGCCATTAAACCAAAAAAACACCACTCAGTGATCAGCTTTGGACTGTAGTGAGTAGCCATTCCAGCTTTGATCTGGAAGTTCCAACCCCCATTGAGACTTTGGCAACTGTCACGCCTACAAGGCGGGGCCAAGGGAGGCACCTGGAGACCTGAGATTGGACTGCGCTCTCACTTGGTTCCAGGCCCTGGACGGTGGAGGTGGGCTAAGCAGAGCTCCAGAGAACACCGCTGGACTGCGATACACCTTCCCCAGACCCCGACCTACCTTAATTTGTAAGTTACGCCATTAAATAAATCTCCTTTTAACTACGTGGAGTGGCCTTAATACACCAAGATCTGGCGCCCAACGTTCATGGTACGAATTCATGAAAAAGGTGCTTGTGGGCCCCAGCTCAGGCCCAAGCTACACTTGGCCGGTTGTGGTGGAGCACGCTGGCAGGATTTACTGAAGGAAGCAGAGGCAGGAGGATACCACATTTGAGGCCAGCCTAGGAGGTTTGCTAAGGAAAACCTTCAGCCTGGGACCCAGTGACAAACGGTAGTGGGACCATGGAGGCAGTGACTGCTGCTCCACGTTGCTGGCTACTTCTCATCGTGTTGGTGACTGCGGTGATGCTGCTACCTGGGATGAAGGGTTACTACTGCTTGTTCAGAGAAGAATTGCCAGGACCATCGTGTTACAAGAAAGCATCAGCAAAGGTCAGTTTGGAAAAGTTTGGCAAGACAAATGGTGGGGAGAAATTGCTGTGACAATATTCTCTTCTAGGGAAGAATGTTCATGGTTCCGAGAGACAGACATTTAACAGACTGTGACTGCTCCAAACCACAGAGGAGGCACACACACACACAAAGAGTCTGTAGGGAACCATGACCAACCCTAACAGTAACTTTGAAATCTTCAAAAAGAAGACAGGACTCCACAAAGATGATTCCACATGGACTATGATAAAGCCATTAAGCTGGTTAACACCAAGGAAAGATCTACGTTGGACTACAAACTGGTCAGGACAATTTCGAGATGACTAGCTGAGATGATCCAGCCTGACAGACTACTCGAGCAAGGACTTATGACAAGCCCTGAACTTTCTTTTTATGCAGAGACTGGACAAATGATACAGGACTTGACAATTAACCCAAAAATTTTCTCTTCCAGATTCCCTAAAGATATCTCCACCCCTAGAAAGCAAAAAGAAAAAGAGAATAAGATATGAGATAGATCATTGAATCTACTGTAGCTACAGTTTTCCTGCCTGGCCCACAGTCAGGACAAATCTCTCTCACCCGCCAGTCCCAAGCCGCTCAAACCCGATCAAGTAAACACAGAGGCTTATATTGGTTACAAACTGTATGGCTGTGGCAGGCTTCTTGCTAACTGTTCTTACAGCTTAAATTAATCCATTTCTATTAATCTATACCTTGCCACGTGGCTTGTGGCTTACCGGTACTTTACATCTTCCTTATCCTGATGGCGGCTGGCAGTGTCTCCCTCCCTCAGCCTTCCACTTCCCAGCTCTATTCTCCTCCTTGTCCCGCCTACACTTCCTGCCTGGCCACTGCCAATCAGTGATTTATTCATTGACCAATCAGCAACACATTTGACATACAGACCATCCCACAGCAATCTACTCTGGGAAAAATGATAAAGAAATAATAGGATAAATAGGTAGATCACTGAATCTACACTGAAGAAAAAGGGGAAGATATAAAAATGACAAAAGGTAGACTACTGAATGTATTATGGAAAGAAAAAAGAGAATATGGATATGATAAGATAAAAAGGGAGATTATGGAATCTACTTTTAAAAAGGAACTATTTGTTTTAAATAAGATAAGTAATGAAAATTTTTTGGTCTGAGTTTATCAGATGTTACTAGACTGGACATTGTTAATATATATAATGGAGTTTTTATCTGAATCTGTCAAATGTTAATGGACTAGACATCGCTAATGTAATCTTGACTATATATATTGTATATACTTATTGGATAGTTTTTCTTGTATTAGTTATAAGCCTTTTTTTTAATTTTAGACAAAAAGAGAGGAAATGTGGTGGTATTGTGTTCCCCAAAATATTGTGTACCCTAATAAACTTATCTGGGGTCAGAGAACAGACAGCCCCTAGATACAGAGGCTAGAAAATGGTGGCACTCACGCCTTTAATCCTAGCATTCCAGAGACAGAAATCCCCCTGGATCTCTGTGAGTTCAAGGCTGCTTTGGAAACAGCCAGGCATGGTGACTCACGCCTTTAATCCCAGAAAGCAGCCTTTAATCCCAGGGAGTGGTAGTAGAAAGCAGAAAGTTTTATAAGGTGTGAGGACCAGAAACTAGAAGCATTTGGCTGGTTAAGCGTTCAGGATTTCGAGCAGCAGTTCAACTGAGAGCCATTGGGATGAGGACACAGAAGCTTCCAGTCTGAGGAAACAGGACCAACTGAGGAATTAGCAAGGTGAGATAGCTGTGGCTTGTTCTGGTACTCTGACCTCCCAACATTTACCCCAATAACTGGCCTCGGGTTTGATCTTATTAATAAGAACTGTTAAGATTCATGCTACATTGGACCGCAAACTCTTCAGGAGAGTTCCAAGATGAGATGATCCATCATATTACATTTTTAGCCAGAACTTCAGATAACCTTACCCATTACCCTGAGACTGGCTGCAGACTCTACAGCTAGTCCTATTGAGACCTAACCATTTAGCTTTCTTACAGGATCCCACAGAGATACTGTCGATCCCTAAACAGCAGGAAGCAATTTTAAGAAAACAATGCCCCCTCTCCCAAAGGTTTCATTTTTCTCGGGGTTATGGATAAATTGTTATAGGGTTGAGGGTGGAACAATAAAATTTAGAGTCAGGATTCACTTTTAGAAAAGAAAAAAGGGGAATAGATAGGATATTAAGGTAGATTATTGTATCTACTTGTAAACTAATTTAGCAAATTATCAGCCTTAGATAAATTGCACTGATATGGATTCTTGTATATTGATACAAATGTAAACTATTTTTATATTCCTATTTAAGATAGTTTTTATATTAATATAAATTCAAAACTATAATTGTCATATTGTATGCATGTTCCTACTCCTATTCGAAATATTCTGTATATTGATACAAATATAAAATTATATTTGCCATACTGTATGTATGTTCTACCTCTGTTTATGCTATTTTGTATATTGATACATATTAAGGATATTGTTATCATATTGCACTATACATTTCTACCTCCGTTTAAGATATTTTGTGTATTGTCACAATTTTGAGGTCATTGTCTTTACACTGTACATCTGTTTACAGATTGCTTATCCCATTAATGTGAACCCTTAGTATGTCCTTAGGTTATTTAGGTAGATAAGACTTAAAGATTGATAGTCACCCATGAAGGTAATTTCTATAGTTATGTTAGTTAGATTCCCCAGACTTACAGAAACATATGTCAGATGGATAGGTAATCTTCAAACATTTCATAGACCTAGATATGGCATTTAAACGTTTTGATAACTTAGAATTCTGTTGACATGAGACATGATTGCTCCTGGCAGCATTGATCTGATCCTGAAAGAATGTTGGGCTTCTGAGATACTCCGTTTGGAAGTTTGTCTTCTTCTTGGCACAAAATGGCCTGCTGGGCAGAGAACTGCCCTTTCCTCGACTGCTGACAGTACGAATGCTGTCCTTCCTGGATGAGCGGGACACTAGGAAAATCAACTACTGAACCTTGTCAAGACAGGGTAAGATGGTCTTTCACAATTCCTGCTTATGAAAATGGTCTGTCAGATACTCTAGGCCTGTAGCCAAAATGGATGCCCCAACAGTGCTGAGAAACTTTAGGTAACTGTCCAGGCTGCCAGCTGCCTCTGTCTATTCTCATAATTTTTCAGATATTGCTTGTTTGAACTTCCTGTTTCCTCAGGTGTTATTATTTTCCTTCTTAGGTCTTTGATGGGGTTGAAGACTAGATAGTTAGTTATAATCCTCTCAAATCTTAGCTAAGAACATTTTAGATACTAAAATGAATCTTCAGGATAGGACAGCTATTGGAGTAATCTCTGTAACATGCCATTTACCTATGTTCTGGACATTTCCAGATTTTAGTATGTGTCTCTTGTTTGATGTTGTTCTTGCTGGTTGTATTTCTATTTCTATTTATGTTACTACCTTTCCCCTCTCCTGGACAATACTTAATAATTGTTCCTTTTGTGTATAGTTTGTATTAGGTTAGAACTTCCTTATTTAGACAAAAGGGGGAGAAGTAGTGGATAGCTGTTCTGTCGAAGGCCTTGAAGCACCACCCCTAGAGATGTAACAGGTAACTGTCCTACATACCTATGACCTTAAAGTACCTGCCCCTGGGGCATGGCTCAGGGCTACCCTTAAGACCAGAGACACACGAAGGCAGGCCACTCTCTTCCTCCCTTGTTGGACTGGGATGCTGGGTCAGTTCAGGCAGAAGAGCAGCATGGGTCCATGCCTCCCCTTTTCAGGACCCTGCAACAACTCCTCTTCTGTCTTGTGAGTTTTCCTTTCTCAATAAATCCCTTTGCCCTTTAAGCAGACTCAGTGGATTTCTCACATTTCTCTCTCTCTCTCTCTCTCTCTCTCTCTCTCTCTCTCTCTCTCTCTCTCTCTCTCTCTCAAATTGAAAATAGAGTTTTTTAAGCCAATGTTATTGACTTCTGTCCCAAATGACTTCATATTCTGGCTATGACTCTGCTCCTGCACTCTGTCAGCCACATGCTGTGTATTATCCTTATTTCTTTGGGTCTAACCTGCCTGATTGTGCATGGGTACCCCTGAATAAATTGCATCCTGGGTCTACATCTTTTGAGAATTAAACAGGAAAAACACCTCTGAACATTTATGGAAACTGTACAACATACCTTGACATTTTTTTGTTACTGGGCCATCGACATGGCTGAGCAGGTAAAAGGACTTGTTGTGTGAGGCTGACAACCCAAGTTGGATCCTTGGACCCGTAAAAAGCCAGATATGGGAGGCCACAGCTGCACTCCTAGCATTCCTATGGGGAGATGGGAGGTAGAGATAAGAGAATGACCCAGAAGCCTTGCAGCCAGCTAGCCTGGAGCACACAAAGTGACAGGAACAAAAGAGCCAAAGATACCGTGGTGTCTCAACTAGTTTCAAAGAGAGAACAGACACCCAAGTTGTTTTCTGTTCCCCACAGGTACACTTTGGGATGTGGGCACACACGTATGCACACATACACATGCTGAAGTAGAATCAGGTAGAAAAGACCAGTTATTAGATAGACACTGATTTCGTGATTTGTTTAGTGATTTACTTAAAGCACTGTTTGTATTACCTAGTTGTCAAGCGTGACTTCACCTGCCCCACCTGGAACAAAATGACCCGGAGAAACAGCTGAAACAATGGGTCATTGCCTTTAACAACCTGCTGACTGCCACACACACGTCCATAAAATCTCACTTACCCACCTCCAACCTTACGGTTTTTAGGGTACAATGTGAAAATACAAACTGGATCCAGGATGGAAAGCTAGCAGGAGCTGTCACGCTCCTGACATGGCTCCACTGGTGACATATCGTATCTGATATCTTCCACTCTCATTAGTGCTAAAAATGCTTATTCCAGAAAGATTCCTGCAATGGCACAAAATAATAAAAATTAAAATATTTTGTCATCACCTAAACAAAGCGATGTTTCAGAGGTGGGAGGATGAACAGTCTCCTTCAACTGAAGTGTTGCTCTTCAGAGGCACAGCCTAAGCAAAAGAGAAAGTACTCAGGAGTCTCTTAGTGGGACTAAGAAAAGACAGTAGTGTGAGTGGACCTTGGGGACAGAGAGCGTGAGTGACTCCGGAACTTCCTC